TTATGATCAATGGAATATAAATGGAATGTTCACAACACTCGCATATATAATAGATGCGATTATTGGAATTAAGATTGATTAAATGCCCACCTCTGAAAATGAACAATACAAAAGTAAAATAAAGTTAATTGGAAATCACGAACTTTTTACAAATTATATTTGTTTTCGATAAAAATCTTTCAAGTTGGAAGTTTGAAAATCGACATTTTGATTTAAATTCTGGTAAATAAAAGACCTCCCACTAATTATATGGAAAATTTGGTCACCGTGAAATGAGTTTTTATGTAGCTTATAATGTAATAGATGCAAAACTCAATAATGAATAATTTTTGTCTGACATCAAAAATCGAAGGTACTCTGTGAACACTTTTAAACTAATAATAGCATAGTTCAAAAGCTATCTATTATTAAGCCTTGTATCTATTATATCTTTTGTTTATCATATTATAATTAAACTACTTAAAAGCGAACTCATTGCACTGGAACTCAATCTTCCATATAATTAGTACAGGATCCTTTAAATCTGAAAAAAATAAACCAAATTCGAATTTTATAATAATAAAAACTTATTATTAAACTTATTATTACTTAAAATTGTTTTACAAATAGGTATGCAAGAATTTTTTTCGGATTATTGTATAGTCTGAAATAGAAATAGTCTGATATAGAAATCTGTTCAAATTTGGATATACAAAAGTATCTATTATAGATTGCTAACAAAAGATATAAAATTCTATATGGCTGAAAATTAAAGAGATTTATGAAATTTGTGACAATAGAAAATTTCTACTTTTTCTTGCTGGCATGCGGTAGGTAGTTTTGAAGGCGACATATATACTCATTCAGTTCGTTCGAGGCTAACCGCTATGCCAATGTCATTGCTGGTATAGTATACCAGTTCGAACTTTTGTACGAAACAGGTACGAGCACCATAGGAATCCCGTTGAACAGCAAAAGTAATGCGTTACCATCAATTCGAGACATCCGACTTCGGTGTATTCAGTGAAGTTTTACGATCTGCCGACAGATTTCTGCAACAGTTCCGTTCCGCAGAAATTTTCGAATCGATCAATTGTTGCTGATACATAATGAACGTATGTAAATAATATTTTATTTGATTTGTATTCAATATCCAACTGTGTCATTTGATTCTCTTCGGGCATTATCTTATCTACTATTATATGTATATGTATATAGATATAGTCGCAACATTCTGAATTTAGGCGTAACTTCCTGTTGTGTAAAATTTAATTTATCTCTATGCTTTATATATGTGTTTTGTTCTACATTACTTTCTCACAATTAATGTATTACGTTGAACAAAACAAACAAATAGAAACGTCAGAACTCACATATGACCAATTTTAAAATTGAAAACAATTAATTTCGATAACAAATTTTTGTAACAAGTAAAGAAATTCAGTAAACTAAAAATAACATATGGTTATAATTTTGCACTCAACAATGTAACTGTATTATGTAACATATGTGTTAACATTGTTGAGTGTGAAATTATAACACTGATATTACTTTTAATTGATGTTTACTAGGAATATGTTAAAATATTAAAAATGGATTAAAAAACTATAAATTATAAATCAATATCAAATCATATCGAATCGCTATCGTGAATCGTTTCTCTTAGATAAGTTACACAAGAAAAGGATCTCTCATTATTTATACAAAAAATTCGATCCCGGTGAAATGGGTTAGTTTTCACATGTAATGTTTATAATATAATGAAGAAAAGATGTTGTAGACAAAGCTCAATAATTTTAAACTATGGTATAAAATTTGTGTTCACAAATACATCTTTGATTATTAGCTCAAAAAGTATCTATTATTGTGCCTTGTGTCCATGACATCTTTTGTTCACTATATATATAAGCATTATGTATGAAAACTAATATTTCACCGGAATCCAATTTTCTATTTAATTAGTGCGGTCAAAAGTAACGGAATGAAAAATATACGTACATATATAAGTTCGTCTTCGACTTATTACTTTTCAGGAAAGTTTATGCACCTCGCGGTAATTACCAACATCTTGATCACAGTCTGCGATCGTGCATACGATGCACTTGCGAAGCGTCGTTCATCATATGCACGTAGTACCCTTATACGCACGCCACATCCGGTCACGGGGAGTCGCAACCAACTGTAGTCCCGTAACTACGCATCGTGTCGCGTACGCATTGTGTAGTAAAAGCGTAGTACGCGTAAACGAGGCGAAACTCCACACGGAGGTTTCGTGCACCAAGGACATTTTATCTCCTACATGGCTCTATTCCCACTGACCCCTTCACTGTCTGTTCTTCTACCTTCGTTCTCGCTTCTCTCACAGTCGATCACTTCAAATTATTCGCCGGAAGCGATCCTCATTTTTCCACGTACTCACGTACGTTTAAAGAATCTCTAAAATCAGCTAATAACGTAAAAATAGGAGTTTAAGGAATTTTAATAAGGTTTATGCTCGATACGTGTAAAAAATGACGTATAAGTTGTTCTTCCAGCCAGATTCATTAAATATTTCGAATTCTATCGCTTCTTGATAATAATATTGATGTATCATATTTGTAATCAATTACAAGAAAAATTATCAAATTTATGATATCATAAATATTAAAATTACGGGATATATGTTAAGAACTAAGTCATGAAAAAAGTTAAACTCAGTCATTTTACTTAAAAAAAAAATAAACTTTAAATTTATTAAAAGTAGATACATATATTTTTTTAAACATCATATTTTTTTATCTTTTTACTCTTTCTCCTTTTTTTCTCTTTTTTTCCTTTTTCATTATTTATAAAATCTGACAAGAATGTCTAAACAATCCGCTTCGAAGCTTCTCTATGTTAGTAACTCGAAGAGAAAAGAATTTTACTTATTAGGCAAATTTTTCTTTCGAAAGAAAACGAAAGCTAACGTACAATAAATTTGAATGTCAAATTAATACATTTCTTGAGTTCAATTTTTAATCACCTCAATAATTTCATTGTTTTAAAGTTAAATTAACGATATATTGAATGTAGGAACAGTGGCAATCTATACACTAAAAAAAGTTTTGTTGTATTAAATCGGACTTTTGGTAGATTCAACCAAAAAAGATATAAATCAGACACTTATAGTTAAATCTATCAAATTCTAATTGAGATAACCAATCACAATAATCAAAATTTTGATTCATGTGATCATAATTTCTTCTGCTTATACTTCTTGTTACAACTAGACATTTTTCTCAGTGCAGAAATGACTAAAAATGGTTTAAATTAGATAGTTTAACATTACAAATTTAACAATGTATTTCACTTTAAATATAAAAAGTGTATACCAGTTTAGCTATAAAAACAGACCTAATAAGTCACAACGTCGTCCTAATCTAAAAAATATATTATACTTAGATATCGTCACATCATGTCGTTTCCTCGATTTTAGAAAAAACATTTTATTATAAGCTTTCTATAGAGATCTTTAGATAGTTTTGTCCTTGATAATTCGGGTTCTCATGATAGAACGACAACAACGAGAAGCAAATTCGCCGAGCTCAAAGAGAGACTCAGCGAAGAGCAAAACGTGGAGAAGTTCCAATGTCTCGGATGAACGAACGAAAGCGAATGGGACCGAAGTCGACCGAGCTGCTTCGTTCGTTCAGTGTTGGGCCGTGTAAACGGGGCCCAAGGCCGATAGAACCGAGCGAGAGTGTTCAAAAATACGATATTTAACTTTCTCACGAAGAAAACGCGTAACTTTGTGAATATTTCTATGCTGGAGCTAATGTTGCCCGATTCGCGCGAATTATTAGGTGTTGGAATTAATTCGTAGCGTTTTTAAATTGATGGGAAGTACTTTCATTAATGTATTTTTTAATGCTCATGTGAAATAAATAACATTCTTTCATTTAAAAACGCTACGAATTAATTCCAACACCTAATAATTAAAAATCGATTATGAAAATTCTAACATGTGTAGACTTTCAGGAGACATAAACAGTTCCACAATTTCCTAAAATAGCTATACGTGAAACACTTGATATTAGTATTTTTTAAATGCTTGAAAAATAGTCAAGATGTTTTTACAAAAAGGAACTGTTAATACAAAGAAAAATTTCTTTGCTTGTTCGATTTTTTATGAAAAAATATCAAAAGTATTACACACAGCTGTGTAATTAAAAACTCTATAAAAGATATGAGTAATATATATGAGTAATATAGTAAAGATATGAGATAATTTTATGATTTGGATTACCGAATACTACTGGTTTGCCACCGTTAGCAACAGGTTGCTGTATTCTAAGAACACGTGGAGCATCCTGACAAACTGTCTTTTTACGACACTTCTTCTCCTTCAACTAAAAAATTTTTATTGTTTCTATTACTTCAGATTTGATCTTTACTTTCACTTTCACATATCCTTTTTTTTCGTATTTTCCTCTCTAAGTTTCATACAATTTTTATTGTATAACTTTAATACTATTTTATTTTATTCGATATATTTTAATAATATTTTATTTTATTTGAAACCAAACTTAACATATTAAATATTAAAATAAACAAATGTCTACTGTTATTATTACAATCTCCAATAAAACAATACGTGTAATGTATTTACGAATAAAATGGAAAGTTTCTAGTAGACCATTATTACGTATATTTGAAACGCCACGTATAAACGGATACAATTTCGGCATGTGTAGTCGAAGCTTTTAGGTGTCGAACATGAGGGGCTACTTTACACGATGCAGACCTCCAATCCTCCCCGCTGTATCGCTCTTTCTCGACTAAACCGGCGCCACCGGCCACGGCCATCGTCCGCACCGACGCGACGGCGGCCTAAATGTGGTGGGGAACGGTTACCGGTTACGTTCCATGTGACACGCTGGCGCCGCGCTGGTGGGGGGGCTGCCAGGTCACGTGATCAGTGGCGCCGCGCGAGTGGGGAGAAATCGTCGGCTACGGCCCTACAGGGCAGCTGTGCAACTAGACTCGCCGGCATTCTGACCTGATAAGTCACCAGTGTCGGATCGTGAGAAAGTGGAGAGGGATTCTCGCGCTCCTCGTATCTCGCAGGACATTTAAATCGTACGCGAACGGACCGACGACTTGGGCTCGGCGGCACTCCGAAAGAGGGAAACCGTTTGTTCCTCGCGCGTCGGTCTGTAAAAAGAACAGAACGAAAAACAAGAACATCACCGTTTCTCTCCTACGCCGATCGAAGCGCCCACCTCTCTCTCTCTCCCTCCCTCTCTCTCTCCTTCTTTTCTCATGATTCCCTCGGGAAACGAAACGTACTAGTCGCTCCGCGAACTTCGACAAACGCGAATCGTGCGACAAGATTACTTACAAGTGGCACCGGCCGGAAAAAAAAAACACTACGCTTATTTATTAAGGAACCTCCGAGCGCGCGCGCGTCTTCGCAAACGTATTATTTATTACGCTTTTTGTGCTTTGATTTGCGGAATAATACGTGTGGAAAACAAATATCGAAGAGGAGAAAAGAAGAACATCCACGATTCTTCATCGATCAAGAAAGAAAGAGAAAGAGAAAGTATCTTTCCGGAAAGGTGAAGAAAATGTCCAAGTACGTGAGAAACTAATCGAACGAACGAACGAACGAACGAACACGCCTCTTTCTCTCTTTCGCTCGCTCGCTCACATAATCGTCGCAGTTGCGACTTTGGCCCGTGCACACAAACACGCTCGCATACAATTCACGCTTGTTGTGCGCAGTCGTCATCGACGTTTCGCGACTCGTCGCGAGGTGAGTGATCAGTCCGTCTCTGCCTCGTTTCGCTGTGAAAAAGGTGTTGAGTGTCCCCCTTCTGTCTCTTTCTCTCTCTCTCTCTCTCTCTCTCCCTCTCCCTTTTTCTCTTCCTCTCTCGTTCTCTCATCCGGGAATCCGTCAGTCTCTGAGATTCTTGGAGGGAGCACGTGGACGGAACACATCCGGTACGTGTCCCGAGGAAACCCTACAGCAATACAGTGGGAAGAAGTCTGAGAGAGAAGCGGAGAGAAGCTATATAATAGTTGGTGCGATCTCTCTCGCCCGTCATGGATCTTCTGTGCTGCGAGACTACAGAGACCGAGTGCCGGGCGTACGCCGATCCTGCTCTCTTGGGCGACGACCGGGTCCTGCAGAATCTCCTACAGACCGAAGAACGCTACGCGCCGAGCCGGTCATACTTTGAGTGCGTGCAGAGGGACATCTCACCGCTCATGCGCAAGATAGTCGCCGAGTGGATGTTGGAGGTAAGCGAACAAGAATCCCTCTCTCTCTCTCTCTCTCTCTCTCGTACTTACGTCGCGCGAGTGCCCGTCGAGATCGACTGCCACGCCGGTTCCGCGGAACGTGGACAGCCGGCTCGGGGAAACGACCCGGTACTCTGGTTCTATAAAGCCTGAGATACAGTCGAAAAGCACAGAAACGAGGAATAGATTTCACTGTACTTCTCGATTATGCCTTAGGTTTATTAATTAGTGTTGGTATCGTTATATTGTCAGTTAAATAGATATGTGATATGTTTAACCCTTGCTTTATCAATATTTAATTTTTATGCAAAAAATAGTTTATATACTGTTATTATTACAAAAATGTTTATCATATGAAGCAAACGAACATGATTATGAATTTATTTTGACACATGTAATACTTCACTATTGAATTGATAGTTTTAATATTATGCATACCTAATGTACTTGCAAATAAATTTCATATAGAAGTAAGAACAATTTCTTAATAAAAATATCATTGCATATTTGTATGATAATCTTAAAGTTACTGATATCTTTATCTTACTTGTCATCGTATCTTAATGTGTGAAATGTCAACTCCGTGAACTAGTGAATCGCTAAAATAATCTTTAAAATTATTAAGTATATTATACTCTCGATATTTTTATATTAAGATTTTTTACTCAAAATTTATCTCAGGAACTCGTTCTTTTAAAAAAGCTGTGAAACAACATAACGATATTGAATTATTGTTAAGAATTACAGAATCGGAGTACTGAGGATTGATTATGTATAATCTTTAAATGAGACTTAAGCCTAAAACCTAATTTACAATGTTTTCTTTCACGTTTCTTGCTTTTTACGTCATGGCTTTTTCTTTCTTTGCGATCGTTTTATCAACAATCGAGTTTCTTTTCACTTGTTTCTTATTTCGAGCTATAGAAAACGAAAAAAACTGGATAAGAGAACAGAAAGGCAAGAAGTAAGAAGTAAAAAGCAAGAAACGAGAAACAAAAAGAGCACATTGCAGATTAGGCTTGAGACAATTGAAAAACACAGATAACAGGAAACGGAGAACAACAAATTTCAATTTAACAGAAATCGTGTGTAATCCAGAATACAATATCTAGGTAGAATACAGAATGATACCATATGTTTCACCTTCGGATAAGCTATGTGATAATTTATCTAATGAAGACAAAAAAAGTAAACGAGATAAAAGACGAGAGTGAAAGTGAGAGAGCAAAATAGCTGAAATTTATCGAAAGATTCCTATGACTTTATTTATTACTTATAAGTGAATTTATAAGTGACAATTGAGCTTAAAATAAATTCTTAAAATATGGCAACTTATTGCTATATGATGGAAAATTAATAATATTGAGTAATTCAAACAGGTAGAATCATCATATTTTATATATATTCAGCAGTGAATTTTGAATAGTTTTGACATTCTATTGTAAAAAATTGAAAAAATAAAGAAGTTTCTCTTTGATGTAAAAAACTTTTGAATGTTTCGACTATTTGAAAAGTATTAAATATTAAGTTTCACGTAGCTAAGGTCATGATGACGTTCTCTTATGTCATTGTAACTTCTGTATTTTACTTGAGGATTAACTTCACCTTAACAATCGGATTGTGGAAACGGATCATGTGGCTCGCGGTTGTTCTCTATTATTTCAATTCTTTGTCGCGATATAATTAAATGCCAGGCGACGCGTGATGGATGCGCGTCTAGCTGTCCCCGATATTTCACATGCCTTTGTTTTTCGCGAATGTGCCTTCTTGAAAAGTAGAATCGCGAACGAGACAATCGAATCGCGATTACATTTGATTTGAATGTTAAAGAAATCGACCTTGAGACACGTAACAATTACGTATTTTGACAATTGTCGATTAAAGAGAGGAAAAGAGTAGAATGATCTAAAAATAAAACTTATCGATGACCTATAGTCTGACGAATCGATCGATTATTTTCCATTTTTTTTACTGTTTTTCATACTTTTTGTTCAATAACAAATAAAATTGTGAGAAGAGCTATTCTCGATATTATATATGTATGCACACTGAAAAGTAAAAGATTTTTATTGTTCGCTGTGGAGTTAAAGATCTCGATTTAATGTTTTGGCTTGTCGTCCGAGAATCTTATTCTTAGACACGGCCGCGTGACAATAGAACTTTATTGCTCGATTTTAAAACGTAACGAAGGTGATGCGGCCGATTGATGCTTCTAAAGAAGAATGTAATTGAATTGATTTGGATCCCAAATATACATATTTTGCGGGGACGGATAAAGATCAAGTTCTCTCGCGTAAAATGTAAAATTTCTCTCACATTTATTCTCCTGAGATGCGACTCGATATGTCACGGGAATATATCTATATGAAATGATATGTATTTTGCGCCATGCAATTTATATTTTATATTATGGTTGTCACAGATCTGGAAAACCAGGAAAACTGGGAGAAGTCAGAGGAAAATGTAAAAAAAAGTCTGGAATTTTGAAATTGTTCACAATTTCCTTAAACTGCTCCTATTCCAGATAATTGTTATAATTTTTTAATATTATATCTGACGTTTATAATGAAATACGTTCAAAACTTGCACACTTTAAACGATTTTAATAAAATAATTAAAATTTATATTTTATTCAATATTTTTATTTGATTCTCTTTTTTTCGTATAACTGCATTCTTTTTTCCTAATTTATTTTTTATTGGCTTGAATTTGAACCCAAAATTTTAGTATGCTATTAAGCCTTTTTTGCTTTTAATATAGGATAACTTTCCTGCAACTTTTGACTTGAAATGTGTTAAAATTTATTCATTTTCATCTGAAAAACCTGGAAAAGTCAGGGAATTTAAAAATTTATTTTCTGTAACAACTCTGTGTGTGTGTGTGTGTGTGTAATATGAGAATTAAATAAGCTGATTTCTATCAATGTAGATTAATTTTAACTCTACCTTTAATTTACTCTTTAGTTTTTTAAAATTTAGAACTAGGAAAAAATAAAAAATAAGTTAAATTGAGATTATATAAAATATATATAAAAAGATAAAAATGAATCCAACAATTTAAAGCATGCTAATCGCCGGACTGAATGTCAGCTAAGTTCTGTGATAATTAAGAATCAATATATACATATACGCGAGTTCATGACATAAAACCTTGTTAGCATCATATTTAGATTCTTATTTATCGACTTTTCCTCACGTCATATATAAGCTTTTAAAATAATAAAAAGTCATTAAAAATTAATCTCAATTACTCTAAAGTATTACGAAATCCATTAATCTCAATTACTCAAAATAATATTACGGAATCGATATTTCGATTTTTCATTTTTCGAATGAATTGGGTTTAAGATAATATTGACGCTGAAATAGCAATAGAATTTAATAATACAGTTTTATAGTTTAAAAATTAAAATTTTTTATTTTAATTATTTTTTAAAACATTTGTTTCTTATTGAAATAATTTTTGAAGTTCTAAATTGCCGCCAAATTTTTTTAGTACTTTTAAATACAATATAAAATTTCTAATTTTTTCAATGTATATTGCTATTCGACGTGACAGAAATTAATCAAGATTAAAGGCGCATGATATAATATTGCAATAGATGCACGATCAGTTCCACCGAATGCTTCAGTAACGATTGAAAACCTGTTGCCGCATTTCTTTTGTTACGACAGCATTGTGTTCTCGAATATACATACATATATACTCGTGCCGCTTGTTGATTTGCGACGAGGCAAAATCAACATTCTTTATGTTGCGCATAATCGAGTCTTTCATTATCGGTATTCTACATGTGAAATTTTAGACATTTAAATTTGATATATGTAAAGTCAAGAATTACCAATTCATCAAAATTTATCTGCTTCTAAATTTAAATGTCTCAGATTGTAAAAAATGAGAAATTTACTCGTAAATTTCTTGAAACCTTGGGTATTTAACATAGCAGGATTATAAAACCAAGATTCTTCGAAAATTCGAATGTTGAAAAAAATGATTGAATTAATTGGCAATTCTAATTGAAAATGAATGAATTCGAATTTTCTGATTAAATTTTTTGATTACTGGAATTTTAATTGATATAACTGAAATTTTGGTCGATATACTTAGAATTATTTGATTTATCCAACCAGACATTTTTCTCAATAAAGTCTTCGAACTACCATTTAATTAAAGAATGACATAAAAGTTATTTCAAGATATAATATAAAGATTAATTTTTTTTTATTTTCATTATAAAATATATTTGTAAAATATATTTATTGTGTTTTTATAATTTATAACGGACCCCAGGTACATTTTTCACTTATAATCAATTATTTTCTATCTCGAATTATTTTTTGCAACTTTTTTATATAATTTAAAAGAAAATTCATTTTCTCCTGTAGTATTGCGTTTATTGACAGTAACAGAAATGTGACGTTTTTGACATTTCGCTGTCATTGTGCAGGAAATTCGAGTCGTCGTCGATAAGTCTGCCCCTCCCCCTCTCTCTCTCTTCTTGACTTACGTCACCGTGCGTTTCCAAAGCTGCTGATAAGGAAATTGTATTCATTGCGATTGACATCATTCATATTAAATTTTCACCGATTAAAGAACCAGAATCGGCAGCCGATCGATCGAGTGCCTATATGCTATATTGCTATCGCATGCGGTTATCAATTTCTGATCCAAAGTCAGCGATTCCAAAAAAATCCTCCGTGTATTTATACATTAAACGAGATATTGAATACTCGGAAACACGATGTAGTCTTATTCGCGTTTTCTCTCTCTCTCTCTCTCTCTCTCTCTCTCTCTCGCACGATAACGATATTGCAATATCACATATGGTTTGCGAGTTATCATGGGTCATTTGTGTCTAGCTTAATTAGGCTCATCTGAATTAAGTGCACTTTTAGAAAATTAAGATTAGACAACTCCATGATAATGATTTCGCGACTCTTGAGAATAGAATAAAACAAGTTAGCTATCGACTTATGTCCATGTATCACACTATTATATTG